ACAAGAAAGGTGAATACTTTTTTCTTTCATTGCAAATGAAAAAAAAAACACAGAATAACATTCTAAAATGTATCAAGTGTGACTGTAATAACATTCTTGTCATATGCAGTTATTTTGCACACTACAAAAACTTATCTCATGGGAATGCAAAGGAAAAAAAAAAGAACATGCTGCATCTCAGCTTCCTCCAATACTGGATAGAGAAAGGCGAAGTCAGACAGCATCCAAAGTATCTGCTCAGGAGAGACACGAGGATGTGCCAATTTCAGTTTAGCACCTATAGTTTAGAATAAAATACACCAATTTAGAATTCTGTTGGGTAGTCAAGATGAAATACTAACAACCCTGCCAGTAATTAGCACATGATAGTGATCATTTTTATACTGTAATGGAGGCAAGAAAAGCAAGAAAGAAGATTTATAACCCCTTTAGGTTAAAACTGAGTGCTACATCATCCTAGTAAAAAAAAAACCCAAACATGCCAGGCTCTATAATGGGCAATGACTAAAGAAATCAGCCCTTTTCATAGACAGTGGGGAAGTAGCTGATATAAAGAGGACTCAGTTCTTCACCACAGTCTCTAGACACTCCTCCCCAACCAATAAACCCAATACAAACATCCAGCTCCCCACTGCAGTCACACTGCACAGCTGCAGCCATTGCCCTGCATCCACTGAACCAGCTGCATCTGCCCCGGCCCCACACCAGCCCCCTGAATGAAAGAGGAGGATATTCCATTTCTGTGCAGAGCCCACCCCCCAAGCGCCAGCGATGCTCAACTACCCATCTCTTCCACCTCATCCCTTCCGGGATTTACTTTGCTTTGTTTTTTTTTTTTTTAAAAAAAAAGAGATAGAACTCCTTGTGTTGTGTCCAGAAACCACCTGAGTTCTGCCCCAATTATTCAGAGTTACTCTAGAAGAATCATTTTTGAGACTGCGTTCCCAGCCAGTAGGAGCAGGCTCACCATTTCAGCTAGGAGAGAGCTGTACACAAAGTTTCAAGAGTCTGATCTACTGAGATGTTCAGCACCCACAGTTTTTGCTGACTTAAACAGGACGGATTCTCCTCACTTGAAAGGAGTGTCCCCAACTGAGACTTGTACAGAGCAGGCAACTGCCTTTGATTTCCACAGAGCGAGACATAAAGACTGATTTCCTCTTTTACTTTTAAATCTCGAGAGTCTTTCAAAGGGCCTGAAAAGCACATTTCAGCAATAAACCTCAAACCAATCTCGGCCTGCAAATGTAATGACACGAATGTCTTAGGTACAAGCAAGTCATTCACACCAGTCCTCTGAAATTAAAGCAGCAAGAAAACAGGCTCTCAGCTAGCAATTCCAAAGGCCAGATTCTGTTAATATTTAGTCAACAGAAGTTCTGTACTGGGGTATTTGCTGAAGTGGATTTAACTTTCAGTAGTGCCACAGCGAAGGTAAATTTAAACACGCTTCCATTTGTAAAGCAAGGTATTCTTTCCCCAGACACTTGTTTACTGGTGAAGAACACAGGGTAATTACCAAGATTCTGGCGGGCTGGTGCCAAGACACACGACAAAAAACATGCCAAAAGGTCAGGCCTGGCAGCCTCGGAAAAGCTCTCCTGCATTGGGCAGGATGGCACAAATCCCTGGCAGCACCACCTCCAGCAGCCTGGCTCCCAGTGTGGGGGGCACTGCAAGGAAAGGGGCTGTCCTCAGCAAGGGGAATTCCTTTGGTGTGCCCAACTGCAGGAAAAGCGCAGCAGGATCCAAAAATCACGTGCACTAACAAGGAAACCAACTGCCTTTTTCCTTGAACAGGTGTTTTTAAATGGTTGGATTTTCATTTGGAGGCACTGTCAGCAGGAAAATTAGTTATATTTCCAATGATCCAAGCAAAACAATTTTCCTTGCAACCAAGTAACAACACCACATTCTACTTGTCTGGTTTATCTTCCATAAAAGAGCAAGAGATTCAACTTTACATCCATAGAGCAAAAGACAGGATTAGCAGCTCAAATGCCACCTTAACAGGAAATGCAACTGGGTTGAGAAAGCTTAGAAAGTTCCCATCTACCTTCCCACCAGCTGAGTTTCGAAATGTCCATGTGAAGGATGACAAACCCACTGCCAGGCTCCCGCTCATCCTTTATAAACTCAGCACCAGACTGAGACACCCCGTCCAGGCCTGGTGAGAGTACAGGACAAGGACTTCAGCTCTCACCAACAGCAGGCCGGATTCACCCATCTCCCCGCAAAGTAAATACCCAGGAAAGGGTCAAACAGCACACTTTGGAAACCATCTCCCTCTGTCTGGGGCTCACCTCCTGCTGTGTGCTGCCCTGCTCCATCCCAGAGCATGTGCTCCTCAATTCAGAGCACTCAGTACTGCTCTCCTTGAAGTCAACCTTGAAGCTGCTGCCTGAGTAAGATCTGTACCAAGGACCAGGCTGGCACAATGGCCGGATTTCTCTGCAAACTTTGCTGGTAAGCACATAAAGTTGCAGTCTCCCTTGAAAGTATCAGCTGGGTAACTGCCCTGCATGTGTTACAAACTAAGAATGGGAGGTTTCCTGAATCCTCTGCACACTCACAGCAGTTGATAAATAATTTTTTTAAGTCCATCAACCTAGAAAATACTTATTCAGTCATCACAAACTCTGATGCTTCACCCCTGCCTGTTTTCTTAGAAATAGACAGGAAAAAAAAAACCTCTTTTCTCTCTGCTTGAAAGCAGAAAGTTGCACTTCTTTACACACAGCCTGTTTTCAAGGTACGTGTAGGCTCTTCCCTGGACTGGGCTGTTCCAAATGTACTGGAGCAGCTCTGGATGTGCTGAATGCTGCCCAGAGTCCTTCCTCATTCCAACCTGGACACAGTCTGAGGGCTTGCCAGAATTCAAGAAAGTGTGTTTGCCAGAACATTATGTTGCAGGAGAAGTAAAACAACTCTCAAATTATCTTCACGTGGTACCAATTTGGGCTATCTGAACAGCGACAGGAAAGGAATTAATACTCTCCTTTTTCACATAAAAGAGAAAATTGAACCCAACATGAAAATCCTGTACTCTCCTGCAGACCATAATATTTTTCACTTTAATTTCAGAATTGTAAAAGGTAAGAAGTGCCAAGAGATGTCATTACAGGACAGAGAATAAATTAGATACTCCATTCACCTACACATTTCCCGATTTTCCCTTGCCCCTTTGAGCTTAACAAACTGCATTCCCCGTGCTGCCACTCTGCTTCTCTCACATCACAATGCTGGGCTGGGGATCTGTCACTTCATGGCAGTCAGAGGCCCTTCTAAGACAAATGACAACACATTCTGTCCAGCTGAACCCTGTCCAGCGAATTAGACAAAGCATAAGAAGCCAAGGGAAGTTTTTCAATGCGCTAGAAAACTAAGCATTACGAAACACGAATTAAATGTACTATAGGAGCAGTCTGTAAAAAGCACAAACACCTGAAGCATTTCCATAATAAAGCCACTAGGAATTACATTTTAAAACCCAAAGGCTGGGCTCTGCCAAGATTTTACATCAGTGCGGAAATTGGTTTAAATGAAACTCCCGAGAGAGTAAAAAAAATATATTTCCAAGTTGAACTGCTGTAAATCATCTGCCTGCTCTTTTACAACACACCTTAACTCCCTGTCCAGAAGCACACAACACAACTGCACTCTCCAAAATTTTTTTGTGTGCTTTCCTCCCTTTCTTTTTCTTTTTAAATTTGTTTACTTGATTTCACGGTTCTAACAGGCTTATGAGGCATATGCTGAAAAACTCTTATCAGAATATGTACAATTCTAAAGGACTACTAAAATATCCATGTAGTTCGCACTTTAAAAAACGCACTTCCTTTTGTTACAGATGCAAGTGTTTGAATCAACCCAATTACGTTTTCTTGCCAAATACATTCAGCATGGCTAATGATTAATGAATATAGCGCTTTTCTTTTTATTCACACAGGCTTCTCTCCAAGAAGAAAAGGAAGCCTGGTAATTGAAAATTACTGTCCTTAAACACTATGCTGCTACTGGTGTGCATACCTACTGCTCTTGCTAAGTGGAAAAAAAAAAAAAAAAGGAAACAGTCTCTAGCTGAAGCAAGATTCAGTATTCTTTTTCCAAGTAACTAATTTTTTTACAGAGAAATTTTGCTTAAAAATCTAATTTAATATTTTAAAGCGTAAAGATTCAGTATTTTAGTGGGGGCAGTAAAATCAAACGCCAACACTTACAGTCTTTAGATTACCGTGAAGAGAATATTGCATGTAAATAAGATGTTTTCTTTTTTTTCAAATAACAATAAAATCATCTAAACCCAATAACCAAAACTAACACAAACAAAAAAACCGACGACTTCAGAAACGCTGCAATGCCAAGTTCCACCGTGGATCTCATTTTATTAGAACGCAGGGCAGACTGCAAACGTACCTCTAAACTTTTGGTACCTCATCAAAAACTTCGCTGGCCTCTCCTCAGCCTGACACTGCCCCTCATTGAGGACTCAAACCGGCGACCAGAGAAAACTTAAGGTTTAAAAAAAGAAATCGATCGCTAAGTAGCTCTAGCCTTCCCTTTTAATCCAAAGCCTGTGAAAAACGAGCAGCTGTCCGCGAAGACGGCACTTCACCCCCTGAGTTCCCCGCAGGATGCTGCCCGTTTGCTGCAGACAGACAGACAGACATGGACAGACCGAGCCCACGGAGCGCGTTCTCTTCCCGGGTGTGCAGGCACACCGAACCGGCTCCTCCCCGCTCCGAGCGGCTCCGGCCGCGCCGATCGTGCCGCGTCCCCGCCGGGGCCGTGCGGGCACAGCGCTCTGCCCCCTGCAACAACCGGGCAGGCTGAGCCGGAGCCCCCCGGCCCTCCGAGCGCCCGCAAAGCCCCGTCCGCTGCGGGGCCGAGCGGGGCCGGCGGAGCGCCGAGGCCCCGGAGCCGCCACTGCCGCCGGCCCCGGGCTGCCCCCGGCCGGGCCCGGGCTGCCCCCGCCCCGCCGCTCCCCGGCCCGCACTCACCTTTCATCGCGGCGAGCACAACACACATCATTTGTCGGGGGCGAACGGAGCGGAGCGGAGCGGCGAGGCGTGAGGGGAGGCGGGACGGGCCCTGGGCGCGCAGAACCAGCGCGGCCGCCTCAGCAGCAGCAGCCGCCGCCGCCTGCCCGCGCGGAGCCGCGCCGCGCCGCCATCCCCCGCCGCATTTGAGGCTCCATGTGACCCGCTGACACCGAGCCAGCCCCGGCCCCCCGCCCCGCCGCCAGCCCGGCCACACCGCGCCGCTCCCGCCTCGCTCCCGCCCCTCCCGTCACGGGCTGGGCGGCGCCGGGCCCGCCCTCACGCGGCAGGTGCCGAGCGGGGCCGCGGCGGGGACACCCACACGGATCCCACACGGATCCCACACGGCCCCGGTGCCCGTGGCGGCACAGCCAGCAGCGCTCCGGCAGTACCCGAGGGCTCCGCTCCGCGATTCAGCTCCCCCGAGCCCCCGCACAGCCCCCCGTGAGGGATCTCCAGGCGTTGTTTGCGGTCAAGAACAAGGCACGGCGCTGCCCGCTCAGCGGGCGCTGACTCGGCCGAGCGGAGCGGCGTTTGCGTTTGGAGCCTGCCCGGTGATGGGCGCGCTCTCTCGGGATATACCTGGAGCGTTAACCACTGCCGGAGTTATTGCCCTCTGTTCTGTAGCGTCAGGTGTCACTGTACTGCCGGCGTGCGAGGGGAAGGTTTGCACTCCCGGGTAAGCACACATCCACAGACACAAAAATAATCCAACCTGCTCGAAAATTACCCCACACTCTGCTGAAAGTTGCATTAACAAAGCCAGTATTTTTTCCAATTACCGTCTTAGCCGTTGGAATAGAGCATCACAAAATATAAAGCCACAGAAAACCCCCACTGATGCATTACAAGTTGTTTAAGAGGGGAGAGAATATAACATTTAATCTAATTTAATCATAGGTGTAAGCATTTAATGAAAGTAAGACAAGGGAAAATAGATAAACACAAGCCAGAGGAACCATATTAATATTTGAAACAAAGCCCTATATTTAGAAAGCCTTTATGAGATGAGGACACTGAAACAATCTGTTATTAAATGGCCCCGAATGGCTAATTCTTACCTATTTCTTTAAAGAGTTCTTAACACAGTATGATATTATTTAAATGTGATTTGATCCAGGTGTACTTACCACTTATCAGTCTAGTCATTCAAGTCCCATTAATGCAAAATACTGTTTTAAATTTTCCTTATTTAAAAAAAAAATAAAAAAATTAAAAATTCCAAGAGGTAATCTGGTGCAGTAGTGTAAATTTAGCACATACCTCAGTCATAAAACTTTTGATCTGTATTCGCCATCCTTATTTACATTAAGCCATTCCTACCATTAGCACGTGTATAGTGAGGTACTGCTCAGAAAATGTACAGTGGCAGATGTGGTCCCAGATGGGGCTGTGTTCCTGCAGTTTTATCCATTATGCAGCACATGTTGCAAAGTTACAATGTGCTTACAGAAGACATTCTGGACTGAACCAAATTCCACTGACAGTGGTGCTCAGGGCTCGTCAAAGCCGGGAAGATGCTGCTTTTACACGGGGGCCGACTGTGGAATTCAGATGCAGCCAGAAAGCTTGGAGCAGCACGGGAGAAGAGAATGATGTCTTCACGTATTGTAATGCAGAGCTAGAGCTTTGTAAACATTTTACTCTGACACAGCAAGTAATGTCAGACCGATGGCCTGAAAAATGTCACAGTCCATTAGCACTACTTGTCTTGTCAGACATTTAACCTTAAGGTACACAGCATCGCGTTATTACTGATCTGTACTTGTTTCCAGTCCAACTGAAATGCAACTGGTAATCTGCCATGACATCTGATGTGCTAAACGGCTCCAACAATAAGCAGATGACACAGATTTTGCATTCTTACAAATGCCTTATAATGTTTTTTTTTTCATAAAATTACAGAAGATTTGTCATCAGACATTTTAAGTGAGAAGAGCACACCTAAAATAGTCTATTATTTGTTATCAATATCCCACCTAAAGCCCTCTGCTGACTTTTGAATGTGTAAACACATCCATTCGCACTTGGGTTTTCTCTCTTAGTCTGACCTGATTATGAACATTCCATCCAAAATCCATTTCCTGCCCATTCACCAAACTACTGCGATAGTGAAAGTCTCGCTGGAGTGCAGACACCTTATCAGTGACAACACACAGACAGTGTGCCAGTCAAACACCACTTAGCTCCGTGTTACAGTACACTTGACAGGCGATTGCTCTCACTGTTGGTGCGGCAGGGTTTCATCTGACTGATGTGAATGCCTCCTAGTTCCCAGGAGCCGGTGCTCCATCCTGCTCGTTCACTGAGCCTTTGAGAAATACCTGTGCGACACTGCAAGCCGGACCCGGATCCAGCCCCAAAGCCGCTCCCGGCCCCGATCCCGCACCGTCCGGGGCTCCCCAGCGGGGCCGCTGCGGGCAATGCAAACGCGTCTGTGCCACTGTGGGGAGCGGCCACCCCTCTAAACCCCCTGGGCCCCATGGGGGACACCAGCCAGGAAACAGGGTGGGCAGCAGGGGACGAGCGAGGGGAAGCCGTGAGCACCAGGGGCTGCTGCGGCACGGGCTGAGCTCAGCCATGCAGGAACTGGAACGTTAGAGATGGTTACACCTATCGGGGGACCCCATCAGGGACCGCTCCGCGTGTGCTGATGCACAAGGTGTGCGGCTGGGCAGCCTAAACCACAAGCCTCCACAACCATCGCAGGGAAACAACTGCTTCTAGAAACATTTCCAACCCTGCTGGGCAAAACAGAAAAGTGTTAAATTGCTCACAGAGAAAGGGGGAACACCTATGGTAGCTATTAGCACTGGTGGTGCTGGGACCGGTATTTAATTGAGTATTCTAAGCACAGAACAGAAAACACTGTAAATCTCTCCACCTCTTCAAACCTACTGAGCAAAGCAATAAATTCAGCTTCCAAGATGAACCAGTAACTGCTCCTAACTACTTGTTCAAGGACATCCCCAAACAGAAGTAGTTCAGATGCAACTAATTAAAGCAAGATGTTTATGTTGTTCTGGCTTGGAGCAGGAGGGGAGAGCATTTCTGCAGACTGGTGGGTCGTGTTTTGTATTCTTCCCTAAGTCAAGCTGCATGGCTAGGCTTAGTTCAGGAAGCATTTTAAAACTAAAATTCAAGATTTGAATAATAAATATAGGATGTCACTACCACCCTTCTCCCCCACATAGCACAGAGGAAAAAAAGGGCCCTCAAAAATAGAAAATGTGTCACGTAATCACCTCCTGTCTGAAGGAGGTGTATCCACACAGGGTTGTTACGAAGCTGAAGTTGTCAAACCACTGTGAGGTGCAGCATTTACCCACTGCTCTATCACTGCTACAAACACAACTGCATGCAAATCCTCTTGGCAGGGCAATGACTGCATGCTGCACTCTCCCATGGAGATGAAAACTCACTTACTGGAAAGGCAGTGTGACATAAGAACATTTCAGTAAATCATCCAGGGCCTCCATGTTTTCAATTTTAGCAGAGACAGCTTCTTCACTTTGTTAGGATGACCTAGAGCTAGTTTTCCGCTTAGGTTTTCACTTAAAAAAAAAGGGCTTAGACTCAGTATAAATTCACATAATCATGCCTGGTTTTAATTGTTTTTCTGAAGTCTTCATACTCATGTAGCGAAATAAGTTCCTTAAATAGTTTAGGAAACCTTGAATTGATTCAAATAGGTTCCAGTAACGCTGAGAAATGTCCAAGTAATTTTCAGTGCTTCAAACGCCTATGGAAAATTCATTTATTCTCAACATTTAAAGAGCTCCTCTGAGGAGTTAAACCCTGCCCAGAGAAGGCGAAAACAGCTGCTGGTAAATGGGAAAAGGCAGGTGATACTGAAAACAAAGCCTTTCTCCTGTTGCAACCCAATGAGATGTCCTAAGGTCAGGTGAAGCACTCAGCTCCAGCTCATGTTAGGGATGCAGCTCTAGATATGACAGGAGTTTAAAACACACAAGAAGTTCCAAGCATCAGGAAGTTGTTCTTTTGCCTTTCTGGCTTCTTACTTAACAGTTATCACCTGTGAAACCATGCAGGTGCAGCAATCACAACAGCCTTGATTACCCAACACATCCAAAACCAAGTGCAGGAAAACTGCAGCTCTGGATAATCTTTAAAAACACAATTCACAATTCTGTCCACCCTGCTGGCAATCAGTTTTTAAGTGGCTTCTAATTGATATATGCAACACCCACCAAATGGAAATGATTGCTCCTTACCACCTTTCCCCCTCTAGACTCGGTGGTATTTTAGTCTTCATTTATTTCTAGCCCTCCAAGTAGCACAGTGTCGAAGACGAGTCTAACCGAGGCTGTCCTCATTAAGTTGCCTCTTTTTCATCTATTTAAAACTGCTGCCATGCTGACCCTGCAACCAAAGCATTTTGCTTCAGACAGAGCTCCTTGCTCAGTTCCTGCTGAGGAGGTGTCTGTGCCACCAGGGCCTGTGGCTGCACGTCTTAATCGAGGCACTTTGTAAACTGCTCCACATCTCCCAGTTAAGGGCATTGCCATCCCCAACTGGTGAGCAGCTTGCTCTGCTCTGCCCAACAGCAAGGGATGTTGTAGGAAGCAAAACATTTTAAAGGTGTGGTCCGCTGGACTTAGCCAGCTTCCTCTCACCTCAAAACCCTGTGGAGGGATATCACATTTGCTGCTTTTCCAAATGGAAGGCAACAGCAGCACACTTGGGAAACAGAGATGAGATAATCACCAATTAATCACCTGCCACCAACTGCGAGCGGATCCATGAAAAGACGACAAAGTTACCAAGAAATAGATCACCCTGGACTTGGTAGCATCCCCCTTTTCTCTACACCAGAAAAAAGGTGATGAAGGGATTGGTACTGGACGACTGATCACACTGCCACTGCTGAGCCCCTGTTCGATCTCACAGAGATTCTCATCTACACAGGTCTGAGGGATCAAATCTTTCTACAACATCCTAACATCAGTTCTGCTGGAAAGCAGGAATTGTTTGAAAGCTGTTAGAAATCTCTTTCCCATGCATAATCTTACCAGGTTATTTT